CTTGTTGGCTAAAGAGAAGCTGTTAGAGCTTTAGAGAGAAGTGGGGGAAAAAAAAGTCTGACACACATGACCTTATTTGTGCTCGAAAGTATTCCTCAAAGTAAAAGAGGGACCATGATCCACATGCTGCAAATACGAAGAGGTTTTGGTGAAAACATTAACTATTAAAAACCCCGACTTCTATTTCACGATATAATCTCGTGTCCTCTTGTCCTTTGAACTGTGCTTTTCAGTGGATTTTTCTAGCGACTGCCTCACTCTCATCAACATGCTGGCCAAACAAAAGATTTTTTTCTTTAATCAAAATCAATTTAGACAGTGCTGCCTGTTGTCACATCATATTGCCATCTGTAGATTATTATCTGGTTCACGTTTAAAAAGAAAACTCAAACATATTTGTCATACTAAACATGCTCAATAGATACTACTGTATTTCACTCCATGTCATTATCAACAGAGTAAAGCAACCACTGATGGACTAAGAACATTTTAAAAAGGTTGCTCTCTGAGGCTGATGGTACTCTGGGCTTGCACATAAAATTACAACAGTTGCTTAATCTTTGCTACATCAAAGCCTTTCCATTGGCAGCAGATTCAATTTAACTCTAGACGACCCACTTCAACTCCATTAAGTTTCTTTGCTGAATGGGATCAGGGAAGATGCCTCCCCATAATGCCTGCTCGCTCAGGGCAATTTTTCAGCTTGGAAGCTGCAGCCCTCTCTGATGTTAATGGACCCAACAGTTACCCTCCCCAGTCCATGCAAAACATGCGTACATCCCCCAGGTACATGGCAGTGTGACCCAGCCAACTGCAGCTTTTGTTCATGTGGTCTTGTGGCTATGGGCGAAATTGATGCTGCTACACAATGGACTAAAAGCTTTGGCGGACAGCAAGAGTCCCCAACACAATAGCTGTAGCCGGTCCAGAAGCAGTAGTGAAAAATAGCTTCACTCCTTCAGCTATATGCAGTACTTACACAATTCAGCTGAAATGGCCTTTTGCTAAACAGATCTCAGCATCAGCAGCACCAGACTGTTAAATATTCGCATTAGACTACTATTAAAATATAAAGCAGCTATAACAAACACACACATATATATATAGCGTTTTGAAAAGCTCAAATCCAAAGACACCTCTAACAAAGTTTATTTTTAGACCATATTTTGTGTTATCAAGGGCCTTGACACAACCTTACTGTGCCGTTGATTTTATCTTCAGGCAGTGTAGATAGAGTGTTCCAGAAGTCCAGCTGAGTGGGTGAAAGTACAGAAAATAAAGGCCAGCAAGTACATCTGTTCAGTCATTCTTCGTGAAACATTTTTAGTCCACTAGTGCCTATGGACCACCTCAACATATTTTCCGACTGGCACATAGTACATGTCTTTCATTGGTCTATATCACCAGAGGAGTTCTCACATCCATCTCTCCCAGTTGCTAATTGAGACAGGAGAAAGGCTTCAACCATTCCATTCTTTCCCTAAACGACTATTGGACACTGGAGACCAGATGGTCTGTCTGCAAATGTCACTGGTGGCCAGTTGTTACATTTGACAATGTGGGCTGATCTGGCAAGTATCAGTACAATTTTGCTGCCTTCAAGAAGGAGCAACTGGGAAAATAGCACTTGGATTGATTTCATCCCTCATTCGGCGCACAGCAAATATTTTTGACAAAGACATATGGTGGAGAGAAGCGCACAGCAGCAGGCTGCCCAGCCTCGAGCCTGAGCCGTTTTCACTTGATTGTTTCAGGCAACATGCGCATTTAGACAAGCAATGTATGCAGTGTTCGCATGCAGGCAGGCAGGCAGGCAGGCAGGCAGGCAGGCACACACACTGCTTTGGCTCAAACACAGACACAGAGGCAAGTGATAAATCTTTGCACAACCACAACTATCCCTCCCTTACAGTATGCTCCCAAGAGCCTTTATAATCCCAAAGCATTATAATGTTGGTAAATATAATGCAAGACACTGCTTCTTGCTGGTATTATTCAATCATGTTCACCAGCCTACATGAAATCAAACTATTTGTCTCCAGACCACAACACTGCATGCCAGATGTTGGCTGTAACATGTCAGGGAGGAAGTAGCAATGCTGCCTCTGAAACTCCACCTCAGTCACCCTGTCTTCAGCTGAACCAATCTTTGAGAAATAGAGTCTTTCACCTTCAGTCTATTTGGAATTTGGGGAACCAACCTGACGTTCAAAGTTGCTTGCTGAAGCAGAGTCCCTGTCTGGGCTTTGGCAGCTGGACTGATAGCCAGCCCTGTGGAATGGCAGCTGTTGAAGGGCTTTTTAAATTGCACCCAGGTTGATGGGTGGCTGTCAGGAGGGCAATGGACAGAGAATTTCGAAAGGGGGGGTGGAGATCAGGAATGGAAGGGCGGGAGGTGGGTGAATGGAGCTGGGAGGACAGTGACCCTGACACCGAGGTGTACAGAAAAAGAAATGTCTCGAATCCTGAAAAAAATTGAAGTTTATAAATTGAAGGCAATGAAAAAGTGGTGAATGGGGAGTGGGATGTGGGGGAGGGGCATTGGTAAGGTGATGGGGGTCGGGGGGGTTACATTAGTGTTGGAATAAATGGAGCGCTAAGGCCTGTCATCGCCAGGGTTATTTAGGTAGGCAGCACATCATCACTGTTCATCAGGCTGGATATGCCCAGACTATGTTTACATACAGCAGGATAATATCACTGTCTTTTCTAGGCTGATCACCTGTCACAGATACAAATGGAAATGCCGACAAGGCCTTCATTCTCCTTTTCATAGTGATTTACAGTAGCCTTTGTGCCCACCCAATCATTCCATTCTGTTAATTATAATAGCTAAGACATGTTTCCACTGGCTTTTGAATGAAATCATTGTGAACGCACAATAGTATTTCAAATCGAGCAAAGTGTAGATACTGTGTTTTGCCATTTACAGTGTAGTTAAGGACTGTGGGTGTCATAATGTGACTCTTTCAGCCTCACTAGCTAATCTTGCTTTGCTGTGGTTGTGCTGTGCAACAGATGGTGTTTTAAGAAGGTCATCATGTCTATTTCCCCAGTTGTTAAACATGCTAGTTTCCTTATTTGGGAATATTTAAGGCATAATGTAGAACCTGTCAAGGTGTTATCAAACTGCAGCTGACTAGAAACAGTTCTTGTTAAATCTATTAGACTCCGTAGAGTTCTCTGTGGAGTGTTTAAGATTGAAAAGTACTGAGTGTACACTAAGCAGCAAGTTATCTTAATAAACTATCTGATTAGTACTGTTAAGTATACTATCTTTGAGCGTACTTTACAATGACGAGCAGAAATGTCTGCCATCCTTATATTTTGTATACAGTGAATACAGGCTTGGGTACCATTAAAAGTGACTGCCTGTCTATTTTAGGGAAGTAACCTTATTGTCTAGCAATTCTCAGCTTCTTACAGGCTCATTTAGTTTCCTGCATCTCCACATACTCTCAGTATTCAGCACTGAAAATCGGATTCATTTCCTTCTATTTGTATCTCCACCCAACTGGCCCTGTGAGGTTCTGATAGTACCAGAGTGGCTACATTCATGGCCAATTATTAGCCATAAATTTATGAAGGGCGGTAGGACCACTGACAGGTAGCTTTCCTATTGCCTGCTGATTGCTGGAGTGTACCTATTAATCATTTTCTGTATTCCCCACCGGTCAAGAAACCTTTTTAGTGGAGGGATGGATCAGACACAATGGGGCTACCAATTTTCTCTTTCCTAACTCTCTGTTGTGTTTTGCTCTCTTTCGTTTGCTCTCTCCCAAATTATGCTCACATTAGATTCCTCTGATGCAAGATATAACTGATGCTGAGCATCATCTTGAAAAGAGAAGATTAATTCAAAATTGATTTTTTAAGCTCAAGTATATCAGATTTACAAAATGTCAGTTTTCACACTTAACAAGCTGACACGTAGACCAATATTAAGTTCATGGTAATTACAACAACGGTTCAAAGACTATTTTATAGTTTGAAATGTAAAGGATTTGTCATATCCTAGCAAATGACTATATGCTTTTATTGCATTCATTGAATCCAGGCATAGCACCCATAAGCCTGTGCCTAGAACAGCTCCATGATTACACACTGGTAAAATGACAGCATACTGTACATCAAACTGTAGCCATTTAGTCTCAGTAACTCCATGATATAGCTTGCATATAAACTAGGAATAAATTCCCCTTCAGCATTTTGACAGCAGCTATTCAGATACTTAGCCCTCATATTCTGCAGTCATACTCCTCTGCCAGAATCAATTGCGCTGGGAACCATTGCCAAGCCTGAATTTTATCTCCCAGCTGGAAAAAAAGGGGGAAGGGAACAGAGCATGGAGATATGCTGTTTATCAGTCACACAACTAATTCTCTCTCTCGATTCCCCTTTTGAAAGTGAACTTGGTGTTAATCTACAAGACCTTGAGCGCCTTATGCACACAATCATCTGTAACGTGCCCCTTTTTTTCTCTTTTTTTGGTCAATCTCTGACCTTTTGAGTGCCGCCCACATTTTAATTAGTACTAAACTAAAAAGCTGCTCAGTGCCCCCCTAAACTCCCATTTCCCCTTTGTTCTCACAACTCCTTTTTTTGTGCCCCAATGAAATCCAAGGGAGATATACCACATTCAAGCAGTGATTGAATATCAGTGGTGTAGAAGGGGTTTTTGTAACGGGTTGGAAAATTACAAGGGCTTAAGTGTCAGACACATATGCCTGCCAAATGTAATCAGTGGGTAATAAATGTTTGCCCTTTACACTATAAAAAGCAATGGCAGTGCTGAATGTGTGTTCAGCTCAGGGCAGCAGATCACTATGTTGCCGTATCTGTGATTAAAATTATTTCCCATCAAGACCCACTGCTATCTTCTCCCATGCCTCTTGAACTCTTTCCCACAAATGACAACTTCTTATTATAACAACTTTTATGACCGTTTGAATAAATTGCAATCTAACATGTTTTTTTTTGTTGTTGTTGTCCTCCTGCAGCTCTTGAACTGGGACGGTTGCTTGAGTGCTGAAAGGTAAGCTTCTGCAATCATTGTCTAGTCAACAACAAAGATGGGTCATGGCGTTTTAAGCTGGTTTTTCATTTCTGCTCGGTCTCAGGACTGCGTTAATGCTGGTTGCAGCAGAATGAAGCCTCGCAGGATAGAGAGTGAAGGCCTCTTGCTCTTTTCTCCCCACTGTTTAATTAGCATGGTCTCAGAGACTGGGGTGCCGCTTTAGCAATCACGAATCCTGCCCAGCCAATAAGAACTTGTGTTCAACCACGTCTGACAGAGATAAATGGCATGCCGCAACATCTCAGCCTCTCCCATCATCTCTGTTACTCATGCAATAGAGCATTGTGGGAAGACTAGATGAGTGCCACAAATCCAAGTGGGCATGGGGGTCATTTGATAACAACATAAATCTACGTGGGTGTTTTCAGTGTGTTTCTGTGTACAGATGGTTTGCAAAATGAAACAGATCTGCTTGTGTTTGTGTTGTATGTACGGTTGTGTGTTTGCTGAGAATGCCACAAATTGGCGCTGCATTAGAGAAAGGTGCCCCAAATTTTCTAACTGAGACGTTATTCATTTGCTCTGTTGAGATTCTAGGGCTGGGTTTGGGTCAATAGGTGGAAAATTCATGATGGTTTTAAGTAGCAAATGTGAGAAACTCACAAAAGACTCAGAGGATGATGTATTACATTTCGCGACTTGATCACAGAAATAATTTTGGAGCTGAAGATTCGATTAAAAGCAGCATATTTTTGTCAGACAATTGGTACAGCTTTGAAACAAGGGAACTGTTATTCATCCGTGAAAAGAAAAGATTAACAGAGTGAGCTTCCACTGAATACATTATATGCAACATCCTACATTACCTAATCTTTGGAGATGCTACATCTTGTCGAAGTATTGGCTAATTGGACCAGAACCATCATATTATGTGGGCACAGATTCAACTAAGTCATTGATTCAATTCATCAGCTGAAAAGAACCTGAGTCGGCTCACATTTTGTCAGTTGAATCTCTGTACTTTTGTTTTTTACCTGCGTCATTGTACACAGAGCAATGCAGTATCAGCATGGCAGGCTGTAAGCGTTACAAACCGAGTCTCAAAGTGACAACAAACCACAAAACTGTGATGGAGGCAGAGAAGGGTGATAGAAACGGAGGTCAGCATGACGGCGAACAGCGTGAGGCAGGGCAGTCGGCTAAACTACTTTAGAACAAATCGGTGGTACGACCTTTACTGACTGTTGACCTTTGAGCAGAACACACAATAACGTTTTCTGACTGTCTGGGAATCTTTTCACATCACAAATGAAGAAAGGCATTAAAAATGTAATCTTAGGAGTTACAATCAAAAAGATATAGCTACTAAACTGAAAAACAATAGTCTAATCTTCATGTTGAACAGCCAAATCTGATGTGACTGGCAAAATTCTGAGTTGAATAGAACCCTAGATTCAAATTTAATTTCATTTTGTTTATGACCTGTAAAGAGGACTTTCTTTCCTAGTTGTTAAAGTGTCAAATTGTATTTGCTACCCTTTGCTTTAAAGCACTCACTGAACTGAAAAATATGAGCATAACTTGTAGTTTTCTGATATGTTATAAGCCTCTTGCCACTAACATCAGATGAAACAGATCAATTTTACAAGCTTAAATCACATGGTAGGGTTGCAACTAAGATCATAATCCACACTCCCCAAATGAATAAAAACTATTTTTAGACATTTAATGCCGTTATTAGTCACTGGTGAACTTCCCAGTTAAACACAACATGAATATGAATCACCTGCAAGCAAGTGCTGGGTCCAGAAAAAAAATGAACTCATCAGGCTAAACCTAATCACAGTCTCCAGTCCAAACAAGGAAATGTAAGCCTGAGAACCGTTTCAGTTTACATAGTGCAATTTTAAATAATTGCTTCTGGCTCAATAGATGCTTACAGTAAATCAGTTTCCTTTAGCTGATTAACATGCAAGCTATCTGAGACAAACATTAAGATGTGATCATTTCCATCTTATTCTCTGTGTCAAAATGTTGAAATTTGTGACGTACTTTTCTTGCTACAAGAGCTAGCTTGTGGAAAATTACAGTCAGAAAGTAATGGGTTACCTATTTGTGTTTATTTATTTTGTCACAGAAGAAATGTAACTGTATGTAAAATTTTATTTAGAGTCTCAAACTAAAGAATTATTATAGAACCCTTTGATAATACACTAAAAGTAGGGTGTCTTTATTAGTAAAGAATATTTACTTACACCTTCTTATGACTAACATACACTTAACTTATGGGGTGGTTTTTTGGCAGTAATTGCTGAAGTCCTTTCCCCCACCTTCTCCTATGTCAGTGGATCATAGTAAGGGAACAGTTTGTAGCAGTGGGGGCATAATTAGTGATAGACCTTGGACATGTCATACTCTGTTAGTCAGCCTTGCTTTAATTCCTTTGTCTCCTCTCTGCTCATAGCATTTATTCAGGCTGTGTGTATGTCAGGGTGTAGTTTTGCTCGGGCGTTACTGTGCATGTGCATACTTAATGTATCTAGTAAAATTGTATTTGACCCTATATAATACAAGATTATGGTAATACAGGGAAGATATTTTATCAAGATATTTGCACTTACATGCTCATGTTTGTCTTTTCTGTGTGTCTGCACTGAGATACCTGTGTGAGTGCCCCTTTGATTTCCTGTCGAGCAAAAGAAAAACAATTAATCATTTTTTGGCTTTGTCTCTCAAGCTAGAAAGGCTACAATATTCAGACAGCTTGTGAGGCTCATTTTAGTTATAATTAGAGGAAACCTTTTTGGGCTTTCTATACTCCTTTTTAAGCAGTTCCCACTAGCAACAAAATACATAAAAAAGGTTTTGTATGATGCCAAAAGGTAGACTGGTGATTATTGTCAAAGGACACTTTTTTGGCATGATGAATGTGTGTGTGTGTGTGTGCGTGTGTGTGTGTGTGCGTGTGGAGTTTGCAGAGGGGTTTCTCAACCTAGGCTGTTGATGTGAGGGCGGATGAAAGCCGCTTTGAGGATACAGTATACGGCTAGGAGGAAAAGCTCTTCCTCCACCACCGTCCTTTGCTTTTCTCCAATTTTCCCTCGCTCCTTCATCTCCCCCCTCTCTCTCATTCTCCCACCGCTCTCCCCTTGCTATCTCCTCTTGACTGCCTCTTCCATCCCTCTGTTGTTTCCCTATCCAATTTTCCCTATACATCCAGCCCACTCTTTCTCTGGAGCCTCTTTCCCTGCCATAGCTGTTGTCATGCCTGTGCTCATCTGTATCTGCTCTTTTCTCTGTCCTCCCTCTTTTACTTTTATCAATTCACTCCTGACCCCGTTCTTTTCCCCCATGTGAGGCTGGTAGCAGTGAAGGATACTGCCCACAGCATGATGATTAGTATAAGAAGCATTCCCTGAAACCGGGGATTATACGAACATGAATTAAAGTGCATGTCCAGTATATCATTCATATTTCTATCAAATTTCCTGGTACAAAATTCACTTCTTACTGAACAACAGTTTGTGTAGTTAGTGCACCGTTGTTGCTTTAAATCCACAACTCATGTCAAGATGTAAATTTATAAATGTGGAGCACAGGGTTCAGGTGTGTGCCCAGAGCCATTTTAGAGAATATTCCTTCAGTCATAGCACATGGCACCTCTGCAGATAGCAACCCTTGTGCTTCTGTTCTTTCATCACGCTATATTAACTTTACGAAGAAAACAAAAAAGTGTGAAGTGTGTCTGGAAGTGAACCTTGAGCTTGAAGTTATTTCACAGACTAGCTAGATATTTACAGCTCTGCTTGATTAGATTATTCCCCAGGTCACCTCCTGACCCTACAGTACATACCACATCTATCTAAAGTGAAATAATTAGTTTAGAAAAAGCAGAACAGAAAAATACTATTTAATTTTGTAAATGGGTACTCTTACAGACCTTACACTGTAGCAGGTGTGTACATTTTATTATCATATCAGTGTTTATATTGCATATTTGTCAGAATATTTGTTATTCTTCAGTATAAACATAAATGGCATCTAACAAAGATTGCATCACGGTTGTGTTGTCATTATTCTAGACCTTTATCCTTTCCATTACCCTTTATCAATAGGGAGACTTTGACTATGGTTCATTCCAACTTTAGATTCACATCAAAGACCACTAGTTGCACAAAGCTTTCTTGTTCTTGACCATCTTAATTAGGACTAATTTTCTATGTATTCGGGGTAAATTAGGACTGCTTTCAAACTAACAAACATGGGCGACTGAGATAAAGCTCCACAGTGCCTAGGTCTGTTCGCCAGCAAAAACATGTTTCTGGTGGAAGAATTTAACAGGAATTTAAAGGACATTTATAAATGTAATATTTAGTGAAGAAATGGCAGACAAAATATGCCTTTTCATAGGTCTACTGTGGTCTCTAAAAGCTCTTTCCCTTTTCATTGCCTTTCCACAAATTTGCGAACAAATGACAAATTACGGGTCATGTTTTCCTCTTTTGTGTTAGTTGTCAGCAGTTGTGGTTGATTCGTAACACTGAAACACAGCACAAAGCACTTTGTTCAGAGATAGCATGTGTGTGGGTTGGCTTTTTTAAGCTTGAAAGGTGCAGGGTATATTTTTTGTGCAACTGTCTAACTCATATTAGACTAGTCTGAGAGCAAAACGAAGACTGCTCTGACATACCTTTGTGCCACCAGTGCCTTGTCTTTCCTCAGATACTTTCAAATACTTCACTGGGTCATTAAAATCAATCAATAATCATCCAATAATTCTTAAGAGATTTCTTCTTAAAACGTACTATATCTTATCCCGCATTCACAGGAACGTTTGCATCTCTCCCATGTGCCCATGCTCGCTCATACCTCTAGCATTATTTGCCTGATTGTAATTCAATGTCTACTATTTGAAGAGCTTAGGCAGCTTGTTTGCTATTGATTTTATTTACAAGGCTTCTATATTTTACTCTGTGCAAATCAGAGCAATTGTTTCCAAGTGCATGCATGAATCAATG